TTGATCCGCTTATCAGCTTCTTCAAACATGGTCTCGACGTCTTGATCGACCAGCCGTTTCCCCTGAGCCAACTCTGTCATAATTGGTGGAGGTGGTCGCTTTTCATTAGTGGCAACTGTATCCTTCGGTCGCCACTTAGGGGCCGAAGTTTCTTGGGCTGCTTGTCGGCGAGCCATGCAATCTATCCGTTGATGCCGGCGTTTCTGAGATTTGGACAACGCGGTATAGACACCCTTCGAAGAATGGTATGTATACCAACGTTGATCTCTAGGCTCAAGAGGCTTGAAGGTCTTTTGACTCCGTGATGATCCTGAACTGCTAGAATTACGCTTATAGTAATCATCGTCATAAAATGAAGCATCAAAATCGAGGCGCCGCCTGACCGGGGGTGTCTCTTCCATCCGTACTTTAGGACCGAGCCTCCCAAAAACCCCATGATGTTGGTCTTCATTGGCGATCTTTTGCCGAGTTACGGCCACGGGTTGCGAAGAAGGTTTCTCTTCTGGTTCACTGTCGACCTTCACTTTACATTTCCTGCACAGAACCGCTGTCCCACTATCTTCATCGGCGCTACACTCCGTCAAAGATTTGACAATAGCGGGCCCCGTTAAGGCCGCAGATGGTTTATTTGAACGCGAATCGGCCATGAACCGTGGCCAAACATTCTGATTCCGCGGGCGTTGTGTCTCAACCACTTCAGCCTTGCCTTTCCCTTTGTCCTTGGGTAGGTACGCGTCGACCATATTTACTGTTGCCGTGGGGAACGGATCAGTATCAACACTCATCCTCTTCTCGGGGAACTTCAGTTTGCCATTATCAATCCAGCTTTGGACGTTATCACGAAATACGACGCAATTGTTTGTCGTGTGTTTGCTCGAATTGTGGTATTTGCAATACACCTTTCCTTTAAGCTCCTCGGCCTTAGGAATGTTATGACCAGGCCGAAGCTTAATGATTCTTGCTGATAACAGTTGGTCAAAAATTGCGTCAGCCTTGGTAATATCAAAAGTATAAACCTTTGACGGTTTCGATGTTCCTTCAGTGGCCGAGCGACTTTTGGCTTCTCTAGAATCAACCTGAGTCAATGCCTTGCAAATGTATGGTTTATCTATTACTATCTCAGCCGCATCCACACTAACACATTCATCCTCGGTTGATGCATAATTGACAGTAGGGTTCTTGTAAATCGTTCCCCGAGTTGGAGTCTTCGAAGTCTTTTCCTCGCGGAGCAAATAATCGTACTGCTCGACATGCTGGGCCAATTCGTACATATCCCGAAACTTTGCCCCCAAGAATTTCTTTTTGTATTCGACGTCAAGACCATTCAAAGCAAGCCTGACAAATTCGACTTCGGGTAAGGGCACTCGGCACCAATTCCTAGCCGATTTAAACCTAGTAAGATAATCCATTGGTGACTCATCAGATGCTTGAGCCATCCGTGCTAATGAAGAAACTGACATCTCCATCCCCGGCCGATAAAATTGCTCGTGGAACTTCTCGACCAACTCCTCCCAGTTTTGGACGGAATTAGGCGGGAGATTGATGTACCAGGCAAATGCCGAGCCGGTCAATGAAAAATTGAACAGCCGTAACTTGTGGAAATCACTATTCACATCTCCACATTGCGCGGTGAAACGAGCCACGTGCTCCAACGAAGACAGGGACGATTCACCAGCAAAAAGACTAAAATCTGGGATCTTGAAGCCCTTCGGGTATCCAAACGTCTCCACGCAAGCTGGGGTACGGATGAATAAACTTGGGGAAACTTCGGCCCTTTCTTCATAGCCGAGTCGATCATCCGCATCGTCAGATGCTGAAACTTCGGTCTTCGACCTTTGGTTCGGTCCCGTCTGACCTTCCTGTTCGACCCTCCTCCCTTCTCCAAGTTAATTGTTGTTTTGAGCGGGGCAAGAATAGGCCCGGCCGGTACAATCGGTGCCGGGTTGTTTTCTGGTAAACAAGTTTGGCGAAGATCGAAAGGCCTGCTGCCACCAACTTGGCTAACCAGCATTTCGAGCAGTTTGGTTTGCCGATCATTGGCACTGAGTATCGCGTCCTGCAGCTTGTCAATGCCTCGACTGAACGTCTGCTCGACTGACCGAGACTGCTCGTCCAGTCGCTTTCGGAGAAACGACCTCATTGGTGGGTCTGTTCCTTCACCACCATCCTCGTCACATTCCTCTATTATCCCTTCATTGAGAACGCATGTGTTTCTGTTGGGGATCTCTAAACCACGGAGTTGACCACCGAGATTAAGTTCTCTCTCTCGGCGAGTCGCGCTCGTGGACTCAGGTGTACCAACGCTAAGGGGATTCTGCGCCTGTGGCACACTCTGTCCTATGCTCTGACTCGGTAAATCGGCTGTCGACTTTCCCATAGCTGTTTTCTTTTTTACCGATCGTGTTTCAATTGGCATGAACTTCGTAGTTTAGCACTGAGTCCCACTGGGCGTGCCAAAATGTTGACCCTAGAAATTACAAAGCCTACGTGGCGCGCAGGCCGAATATATTCTAAGCTAACTACGTCCTTCGGTGATTGCGGGGCGTGCCAACTCGTCGGCCGAGGCTCGGCCGAGGAGTAAATTTGATGATGCTGCGTTGGGTCGCGCTACTGACTTCTGCGTCTTGCGATTGCGGCCGAGAAAGGAACACGTCTCGGCCTCTTGGGTTCTCGAGCTTGAAGACAAGGCTGCTATTTCTTACAAAGTTCACGAACCGAATTCGGCTTGCAATGTGCCGAATGTAATAACTGTGACACCTCACCTCGCCGAGAAGGCTAATGAGATGACCTCGACCAACAAGGGATTCGAAAACCCTTCTCGACCGAGACTTGGATAGGTAATCGACCGTTCTCGCCGCAGTGCTGTGATGAAGCCAACGGAAGATACTGCGAGACCGACTCTACGGTGACAGAGCTATCTATGCCGACTTTAAGATATCACCGGTTGCTCGCCGCAGTGCTGTTGATGCCAACGGAAGATGTGTGCGAACCGACCGACTCTACGGGAAAAAGAGAAAAGATATCAAGTTGTGAGAGTTTGCGCAGGGCTTTGCTTGCCACAGTGCTGATTTGCAGGGGGCTTGTTTCCATTGCTGAAGGGTCTTGAAAAAGATTTCAATAGTGAGCAGCAACGCGTGGATTTGCGAGATTTCAGGGGGCTTTTCCTATTGCTGAACTAGGTTTTATAGCTAGCCGATTCACGAGCCCTATTTCGAACTAGGTTTCCCTCTCCGGATTAACGTTACCTCAATCAGTCCTATCTCTGCTAGGACTACGAATCTAGTCCTTAACTGAGCCGGATTCGCCTTCTAGTTTTACTGATCTCGTCGAGAGTCCCTATTGTATAAGGACTCGACTTGCACTCTGATTTAACCGATCTAGGCCTAGAAGCCCATGAGCTGAACGCCCCCATGACTCTCTCGCCGTACGTCTTCCCGGGCCGAAAGTGATCCCTCCCTCGGCCCAAACTGTTATTTTGGGCCCAAACATCTACACATGTAAGAGTAAAATTTAAATAACCATTACATAGTTATAAATGGAATAAATCACAAACAATGCAAATTCAGAACAATCCAACATGTACTAGTACGAAATAGCATTTGGTTGGTCAAGTAAGGCCATCTCTAACCGAAGGGTCCAGAGGGCCAGAGGGCCGAAAATAGCCCTAAAATCGTCTCCAACCGAGGACTAGGCCAGAGGGCTCTGGAATCTGGGAGGGCCCCACGGGATCAGAGAGGGCTGGCTATTTTTTTTTTATAGTTTTGTTATTCCTGTCGGTTATAACCGACAGGAATACATACTATTATTTAATAAACTAAATAATGGTGTATTCCTGTCGGTTATAACCGACATGATTGTTTTAAAAAAAATTCAAATGAAACGGCTACTAGCGGTTGCATTTGATTTAATTTTTTTTTTTTACATTATTATTATTATTTTTTATTTACAAAATTTTTCATATAACTTCTATTTTTTCCTATAACTTCTATTTCACAAAATTTGGTTTTTTTTTAAATTCCATTTTTTTCCTACAACTTCTATTTCACAAAATTTGTTTCATATTTTTTTTTAAATTCCATTTTTTTCCTATAACTTCTATTTCACAAAATTTACTTCATATTGTTTTTTAAATTCCATTTTTTTCCGATAACTTCTATTTCACAAAATTTGTTTCATATTTTTTTTAAATTCTATTTTTTTCCTATAACTTCCTAAGCCATTATACAACATTAAATTAAATTAAGTAACATGAAACAACATTAAACAATATGAAACAACATTAAATAAAATTAACCAACATAAAAATTATACAACATGAAACTTAAACAACATTTTAGTTGTAGTTTTTAAATAATAAATTATGTTTGGCCCTATGGCCCTTTGGCCCTCGGTTGGAGACGGTTTTTTGTGATAGGGCTAAAACGAGCTCTCTGGCCCTCGGTTGGAGATGGAGGCAAATATGGTCATGTACTGTTCATTAAAATATTAATATCTTGGAGAATCTTGAAGGGCCAGAGGACTAAAACGAGCCCTCTGGCCAGCCCGACGAGGCTGTCCACAACAGATTCCATGAAGTGGTAGGCGCGGAACCCATTGATTTGAAAATCGTTAAGACTGTTTCGTATCAGGGTCCATCGAGTGATATCTCAAACTTCCATAAAAAACAGACGACGATTCCAACACTACTTCACCCCTCCTCCTGAAAACAAGCGGCCTGTGCACAAGTTCTGATTCCCGAGATATAGTTAATATTTTTGCCCACGATTCAGCAACACCGTACTCTTTCATCACCCACATGTCATAACGAACAAAAATATCTGGTCCCATACTCTCGTGCTTCTCGAAAAAAGCAAGGGACTCCTTGTAACTTGAAACATGGCAAATTTGTTTTAACGTTTGAGGTCCCGGTGTACAGCTCGTCGGCCTCCTCAAAACTGCTTTCGGCATTGCAATCTTGCCAATAGTTCAGTGGACATATCAAATGACACGATCAACTTCTCGTCAAACGAGTCTATGAATCCAATGCGGAGCACCGTTTACAAAAGCATGACTTTCATCATAAGTAAAAATTCCGGGCGAGAAGTCTCTAGGAATAACCGGACCTCTGAGACTCTTCCAGGAGCCCCTAGCTAAGGACCAAATCTCAAATTTGCATGACAATCTGGTATTGTATATAACTCACAGTTCTCAGAACCTTATAGTCATTGTTACACAAATCGAAGCCAAGGGCATATGCTTCACTTCTCCGAACCTTAGAGTCCTTGTTACTTTTTAAGGTAACACCGGGCGGAGGCAAAATCACAAACTTTCTAATCCAAGGGTTCCAAAGTAATATTCTGGTTTTGTCAATAAGGAGGCACACCAGCCCGTTGCAAATTCCGACCAACTCACAACACCGACGTTTTACATCTGAATCCATCGTTTTATTATCACCTTGGGGTTGGGGGAGAGGAGCAGTGCTAGTACTAGGTCTATTAACTTCAACGTAAGCTACAAATAATAGTTTCGTAAGGTTGAAATACACACTAGTTGAATTCGGAGTGCCATCCCTCTTGTCCGAACAATGTATGAGGAGCTGACCACCGTCGTTCTGGCTGTTTGGTTGGATGATTGAACGGTATAGGTGGGCGTGAATGAATTTACGGCTTCGGATCAGACACCTCCATGACTTGCACACCCCAGTGAACTTGGTAAGAGATCTGGCGGGCAACCTCAGCAGGATTTCGTGCTCAATGTCTTCAGGAAAAACTTGCTCATATCTTTGTCTTTTGTGTGGTATGATTTTTTTAGGAACATCGTCCACTGAGATTGCTTCCGTCCATTTTCTTTTTGATCTGGATCCTTCAACGTTGTCCACTGACATTGGTTCTGTAATGAAAATACAATGGCAACCAATAAGGGAATGTTTACTGAGGGACTTCCAAATTCTAAGACATTTAGGCAAAATGAAGAAGAAATTAATCACAAAAAGTTATAAAGAAGGAATTAGAAAATGCATCTCATAAAGTTACATGATTAGCAGTGGCAAATTCAGGATTCTAATATCGGGTGGTCCCAATATAAAAGTTCTGACGAAAATAACATTGAAAAATTAAACGATCAACTACCAACTTTTCATTCACAATCTTTGAACAAACAACATTACAAACTACAACGACTAAATTTGTGATGTTTCATATTCTAAAAACGTGTCGTGATAGTTTCATTGTTAATAAAAGAACGACAAGGTTTCATACTCTAAGAATGCGTCATGATTGTTTCATTGTTAATATAAGAAGAAAAAATATAGATGAATGATGATTTGGAACTATTCAAAATTGGAGTTGAACTATTCAGAATAGGATTGAAACTATTTAAAATTGGAGTTGATCTATTTGGAAGAGTATTGTCTAAACTAATCGATGATGATTTTCACTTGTAATATTGTTCCATACTTCTTGTTCTACACATCAATTAATCAAAACAAAAAAACCATACCAATTGATGAAGCTAAAAAATATATATGAACTACCCAACACATGATCCAAACAATATCAAAAATCATAACAGACAATAACTATAATCTATTATAAACTTAAAATTTTCATCCAATGCACATCAATTTTAAAAAATATATATGGAGCGTGTAGTAGCTTGTAGTGGCCTGGGAATAAGTTGAGTGGGGTTAGAGGAAAACAGAAATTGGAATTGGATATTCCCAATTCGAGGAAGTTAGGTTAAATTGAGATTGGTAGAGATCTAAGAGAATAGACTCTATACCTTTTTTTTAATTAAAAAGGGTATCCCTCACGTGGCTTAATAAGAAAACTTGCTTTTAATTATTTGGTTTTAAACGGCTTGCCAAGACCTGCAGCTGCTGGTTTGCCACTGCACTCTTCTCCTCCTCCCCACATGCTCAATCTTGTGTGGTCCTCGGAGATCATCACAACCACTTATTCGGGCTTCCGCCATGTCCCTTAATGCACCAGTCACTGATGATAGGGATTTATAAATGACTCCTTCAAAGTAGTCACCTTCAACTTTAGAAGCTCTTCACCCAAACATAATCACTACAATTAGAAACCTTTTACTCGACACCTCTATCCAATTTCTAGGTACCAAAATTAGAGTAAATTATAGCAATGGTCCTTCAACTTTAATCAAATTGGAACAATGATCCCTCAATTAAAAATTCATTACCATTGATTCCTCAACTCATCAAAATGTGTAGTTATGGTCATTTTCGTCAACTTCATCATAATTTTGTCAAAATAAGTTATGTTGGAATGACCATTGCTACAATTGGGGTCTCTCAACTCTTCAAAACGTGCAGATATGGTCTTTTTTATCAATTTCGTTAGAATTTTGTCAAAATGAGTTATGTTGGATAGACCATTGCTACAATTGAGTTAAAGTTGAAGAACTATTTCTCTAGTTGAATTAAAGTTGATAGACCAATGATAATGAATTTTTAATTAAGAGACTATTTTTTCAATTGAATTAAAGTTAAAATACCATTTGTACAATTTACTCCCAAAATTAAGACAACCATAGAACTTGATATGCAACAGGAAAAACACAAGGTCAAATTCTAAAACTACAAAATCACCACATGTATCGCAGTTTTCAGCAACAAACCCTTCAATTAATGGACGAACAGAAGAACCAAACGTGTTTAGAAGAAATTTCCCAACTGATTTCAGATCTGAGAAACATGAGAACCCCTAATTTTAATTAAAGCCTAAATTGCACAATCAAATAAAGCAAGAAAGAACATTAATTTGCAAGAAAGATAAGATAGGGAAACATAGGGAACGATAGAGAGGGAAGGAGAGAGGACGGAGAGAGAGAAGGAGAAGGGGAAGGAGGAATACCTGGGGTTGAGATGATGGTTGAATGGCAGCAGCGGGAAGAAGATTGGGGAACGATGCGCAGGACCAGATCCGCATCCACCAGAGAGGGTGGAACAACGGACTCCGATTAAGTTTTACCGATCAAATTTCAGAAAAAAAATAATCTGCCAGAGATCCAGTCACTCAAAACAATGACAAAAAAACTCAGAAATATCGATCAAATTTCGTACACATGTTCAAGCCATGTAAACATAAACAAAAAATAAACCGGACCGAGGCCCAAAAATACCAAATCGAAATATATTACACCCAATGGGGTTCGAACCCATTCCCACTTGAGTTGAGTAACTTCAACTTAAACCATCTTGACAACAAGTTTTTTCTTGCCAATACCATTATGAGTAGCATATTTAAAACAAGTTAGATCGTAATTGTTTAATACCTTGTCAATTCCCATCTTTCAGGCAATTGCCATCTTTTATCTTTCCCAATTCACATTTTTCATCTTTCCTTAACCCTAGCCGAAAAACCCACCTTTCCCAATTCCCATCTCTCTCTCTCTCTCTCTCTCTCTCTCTCTCTCTCTCTCTCTCTCTCTCTCTCTCTATATATATATATATATATATAACCTCAACTCTCTCACACTCTCAGAGAGTACAGCAACGGCATGTCTTCCACACTCTCTCTCTCTCTCTCTTTATTTAACTTCAACTCTCTCACACTCTAAGAGAGTACTGCAATGGATGAAGAGTTTGTTGCTTACTATCTAGATCGAAAAATCAATGGTCGCACCATTGAGCTAGAAATTATCCCAGAGGTCGACCTCTACAAATGTGAGCCGCGGGATTTTCCTAGTATGTACTTGATTTTGTTTTGTTTGATCTGCAAGATGGAGTTAAAGGTTTAATTCTTGGTTTTATGGGTAAACTGGAAAAAAAAAATTGTGGGTTTTTATTTTATTTTTTATAATAACTGATGTTGCAGGTTTTTTAATTCATGTGTTCATTATAGGAATGCTTCATGGATTTGACTACAAGTTTGTTAATTTTAATAATTGATGTTGCAAGTTGATTTCTCACTGAGAATGCTCAATGCAGGAAGCATGTTCTTCAAGCTTCAGATTAAAAAAAAAAAAAAATCAAACCGGGCTGAAATCAAACCGAAAAAAATCAAAACAAAAAAAAAAATCGAATCGAATAAAACCGAATTCACCCATAATTTTGAGACTACGCTTCTAATGCACAATAGGAAAATCCAGTGAATGGCTCGAGTTTGTCGCTATGAACACATTCTACCCATCTCAGTTGCTATGGTTGGTGTTTTGCCTGATATACCCTACAAAAGAAGATCATATCACACATATGGTGTTTTTAGACGAAAAAATAAAGGTGTCGCTTCGATCAAAATAACCAATAATGCATGTTGTGCCAAATTCAAGAACTCAATTTTATGTTCATGAACTAATTGGCTCAAAAACCAATGCTCAATTCTAAATTTTATTATCCTAAACAAAATTTTGGGCCCGAACTAAAAGAGCTAATTGGCTCAAAGTGCAAGGCCTAAAACTCCTCTTTATACCTTGTCCTAACAAATTGATCAGAGAAAAATGAATGCACCTTGACTTGGTACACATGCATCCATACAAGTACTCCTCCACAAAGTACAAACCCTAACTCACCCTATTGTCTTTCCATCTCCTTTTCTCATTGCATTACACATTTTATAAGTGGTGGGTTTTACACATTTGGGGTTTTCGTGAATGGAATTCTTGATTGCCAATTTAATTTTGTTCCTAAGATTTTGTTCAACTATATCTCTTTGTAGTACGGACGAACTAATTGCTTGATTTATAGTTATTATTTATTATAGAAACCTGATTTATCATTATCTATTCAGTTGTTAATTGATTTATTACACTAACTTTGATAATGTGTTCCCCACAGGGATCATCGAGCTCCAGCACCGATTCTACATACATAAACATAATGCTCTATCAACAACTCGATGGTTTGTTTAATAATTTTAATTGCTTATTCCCAAAAAAGAACAATACTAATTTTAATTTCAGTAGTAACAAATTAACATCCCCAAAATATATTTCTTTGCTTTTGTTTATGTATTGTATTGTTGGAGTTCAATATTTTCTTAAAATATATTTTTATTTTATTTTATTTTTCAAAAATATCATTGGAGTCTGATATACCACAAACTAGTTCGCCAGAAGCAAACTCTGTTGAAAAGCTTGTTTCTATTCATAGTGATGGCCCAGAAGCAAACTCCGTTGAGGGGCATGTCGTTGTTCATGGTGATGGCCCAAAAGCAAACCTCGTTGAGGGGCCTGTTGTTCCTACTGATGTTCCGGAAGCAAATGTCGTCGTTGAGGTGTATGTTGTTCCTGCTGATGGTCTAGACGCAAAAGCTATTGAGGAGGGGTTCCTGTTGATGTTCTGGAAGCAAACGCCGTTAAGGGGCCTGTTGGTCCTGCTTATAATCAAAAAACAAACCCTGTTGAGGGGCTATTGTTCCTGCTGATGGTCCAGATGCAAATGTTGTTGATGGGCAGGTTGCTCTTATTCCGTCCTTGGATGGTGATGAGCACACAATGTTTTTTTTTTCCACGACAGGTCAGTCAGCGATAGTATTATTTACATCTTTTAATTAATACTTATTCCTCCAAGAGTTTAGGCCTAATGAGTATGAGATATAACTTTGGGTTTATTTTATGTCCTGTAGGATTCTAAAGGCTTATTATTTACAATTTCAATAAGTACTTAATCCTTCTAGATTTAGGCTTGACTTATTTGAGATAAAACTTTGGGTTTATTTCATGTCCTATATGATTCTAAAGCCTGATGAGGAGCCTAGCCGTTTGATTTCAGTGTATCAAATGATTGAACCATCGAGACATTTGATGAGAAAGTTTGATAGAAGCTTGCTGGAGGATCACCATATGCTAAAGTACGTGTTAATGATTTTGACCATGAAAATGAGAGCTCATCGCATTCAATTTAGCATGTAGCTAGAAAGAGGAAAGAATGGATATGTAATTTTAGCATTTGTCTTCACCCGTAGACCTTTGGTTCAACTAATAGTTAAAGTTGTATACGTCTCCAAAACGTGATAACACCATACCTATGTAGTGGATTTATGTTGTGATATTTATCTATGACTAATTGTTGACAAAAATGTGTTGTTAGTGCAATTAGTGTTGCGTGTGATGGCAGAGATGAGGAATAGCCATTCAAGGGCAGAGATGAGGAAGAGCCATTTGAGGATGAAGATGAGGAAGATACGGATGAGACTAAGGGTTGGTATGAGGATGACAATACCAGAACTGGACCTAACATTATGAGGTTCAATTTTATTTTAATATCAATTAACTTGCAATAATGCTTTTTGGTTGTTTGTTTTTCTTTTTTCTTTAACTACTAATCCATTAAACTTTGTTTTGCAGTTTTGATGATACAAAAGCTATCCCAGTCATCGAATGTGTAATTGGTGTGATGAACCCACGAGCGCAACGTGTGGGTTATGTTTTTGGCAGACATTGTCATGACTACAATACACTTCGACTACATGACAATGTCTGCCAAAAACATAACCCACACGTTGCGCTCGTGGGTTCATCACACCCAATTACACATTCACATAACCCACACGTTGCGCTCGTGGGTTCATCACACCAATTACACATTCGATGACTGAGATAGCTTTTGTATCATCAAAACTGCAAAACAAAGTTTAATGGATTAGTAGTTAAAGAAAAAAAGATAAACAAACAACCAAAAAGCATTATTGCAAGTTAATTGATATTAAAATAAAATTGAACCTCATAATGTCAAGTCCAGTTCTGGTATTGTCATCCTCATACCAACCCTCAATCTCATCCATCTCTTCCTCATCTTCATCCTCAAACGCCTCTTCCTCATCTCTGCCCTCAAACGGCTCTTCTTCATCTCCGTCATCAAACGCAGCACTAATTGCACACATTTTTGTCAACAATGAGTCATAGATAAATATCACAACAACATAAATCCACTACATAGGTATGGTGTTATCACATTTTGGAGACGTATACAACTTTAACTATTAGTTGAACCAAAGGTCTACGGGTGAAGACAAATGCTAAAGCTGCATATCCTTTCTTTCCTCTTTCTGGCCACATGCTAAATTGAATGCGATGAGCTTCATGGAGGCTCATTTTCATGGCCAAAATCATTAACACGTACTTTAGCCTATGGTAATCCTCCAGCAAGCTTCTGTCAAACTTTCCCATCAAATGTCCCGATGGTCCAATCATTTGATACATTGAAATCAAACGGCTAGGCTCCTCATCAGGCTTTAGAATCCTATAGGACATGAAATAAACCCAAAGTTTTATCTCAAATAAGTCAAGCCTAAACTCTAGAAGGATTAAGTATTTATTGAAATTGTAAATAATAAGCCTTTATAATCCTATAGGACGTAAAATAAACCCAAATTATATCCAAGGTATAAAATATCGATGATATCGGTAGTTTAAAAACACGGAAATTTCGATGAAAATATCAGGATATTATTGATATCGATTAAAATTGAATAAAAACCACGAAAATTGTAAGAAAAACTTGGAAATTTTTATTGAAACTTTACAGGATGTTTATTTAGTCAATTATCTATTAGTTTATCACAAAAAATTGGAAGGAAATGCATTGCATGATAGATATAACTGATTTAAGTTGATTATATAACGAGCTGGCAAACATTATGAGTGTAGAAAATATGTAGTAATTAATGAAAGAAGTTTAAACACACCATAATCATTTATATATAATGAATTAGTACAATATTTTATACTTTATACATTGCATGGTAAGATACATGAGTGACTTAGTAAGGTCTAAAATATCGATGATATCAGTAGTTCAAAAACATGGAAATATCGGGATATTTTAGACCATGGTTATATCTTATACGCGTTAGGCCTAAACTCTTGGAGGAATAAGTATTAATTAAAAGATGTAAATAATACTTTCGCTGACCTGTTATGGAAAAAAGATTGTGCGCTCATCACCATCCAAGGGCGGAACAGGAGCAGCCTGCCCATCAACAACATTTGCATCTGGACCATCAGCAGGAACAACAACCCCTCAACGGGGTTTGCTTTTGGATCATCAACAGGAACAACAGCCCCTTAACAGTGTTTGCTTCCGAAACATCAGCGGGAACCCCTCCTCAACAGCGCTTGCTCTGGACCATCAGCAGGAACAACAGGCCCCTCAACAGGGATTTCTTTTAGACTATCAACATGAACAACATACACCTCAACGATAACATTTGCTTTCGGAACAACAGGCCCCTCCTCAACGGTGTTTCCATCTGGATCATCAACAGGAACAACAGGGCCCTTAA